TCACAATAATAAAGCGGCACGTCATGAGGATCAGACTCGACTTCAGTGTTGGACGGACAACAACGGTCTTTCAAATCATCATAGAGTACTCCATTTTCAGCACATGTAACGTAGATGATTGTCGTCTCCAAGTATCAATAGTCGAAAAGATCTACATGAGTTAGTATCCTATGGTCTAAAATCTCATGTTAACTGTGGCAAAAGCATCACTATAGAAAACCTGGGACATATAACTTTGAAGAGTATTTTCGATTTTCCACTTAGTTTTCAACACCGCTTGAATTAATTTAAATCATGGAAATCCAGTATTCCTTTCTTTGTCTTGAAGGAATAAGGATGCTCCAGAAGGTTATCAGAGGTTAGTCAAAAAATCATATCATGTGCAGGTATGCGGACCTCATATTATCCTACTTAAATCGCTGCGCCCTTGCCTTTTAAAATATAAGCTACTCGGAGGTGATCACTCGACATCATACCCCTGAGCATTCTTTCGAACTACACTTGAGTTGATTGTCAACACAAACAGTGGGAGTAATACCCAAAATTTAAAGGTACAACGAGACAAGCTGGGCCTTAGATGCACTTATATGGCCTACTCTTTACCGACAGTCAAGCTCCGGAATTAGCTGGCGGCTGAGGCGGTTCACGCGGTTTCCTGGATGTGTTTCGAAAACAAACTCTATATATTCCTCGGGGCCCTAGACATTATAGCACTTTGATCTGATATTAAATTTGTGCACGCTATTTAAAAAGGACAGTGGTATTTTTCCTCGTTGAGTAAATTCTACTGTTTTGATCGTTATTAACGTATCAAGACTACTGTTTTTATACTTTGATTGAATTTCTTTCAGTTAAAGTATTCTATTAGAGTATCATCTTTGGTATCCTAAATAGTTTTATCGTCGGTACTCCAGAGTACCTTTGTTTTTCTATTGTCTATTAGTACTTTGGTTCTAACTATTTATAGTTTTTTTCTACTTGTAGTCAACACTCACTTTCGCATCCTAAAATGACTGGAAGATGCAACAAAAGCATCTGCCACCGCCCTGGATGTCGATATCCTGTTGATAGCGGCATGCAGTGCGATGAGTGCAAAGGTTGGTACCACGATGTTTGCACGAATCTAACACCTGCAGCTTTCAAGCGGTTCAATGAAAATGGGTGCGTATGGCTATGTCAACAGTGCTGTTTCGATGCAAATAGCCTGTTAACCGAGGCCATCTCAATAGTAAATGCCGCAAAAAAGTGTCTCGGCAAGCGCGGTCGGGATATATCAGTCAGAACTCAATCTGTCGACACGCAGATTGACACAAGGCAGGCCCAAGTGAGTCCAAAAACTGCCGGCACACACTCTACTAAGGAGGAAGAACATCCTCCAAAGAGGTCTGTTACAACCAGAAGCTCGCGCAAAAACGTCTCTTCTGTCCCTCGTATCAAAAATGGTACCCAGAAGGGAACTTCCGGAAGCCGAAACCGCAAGGCTCGATCACTTTTCAGCGCGAAAGATGACCCAATCTCCCAAGTCGTCCTGAATCTTCCGGAATCCCACAGTTCGCTTGACGCGACTGTGGTTACCACTCCAAAGAACGTTGGCGATTGGTTTTTGAGCATGACATTGTGTTGATAAAACAACTACTCAACCAAGTTATGCCCAAAAACAACCCCGGAGTCACCTTGCTAAAGGTGTATAGACTAGGAAATCTAGCGCATCTGAAACCAAATCAGTCTAGACTACTCAAAGTCGTTTTCAAATCCCCGAACGAACGCGACTTAATCTTAGAAAATGGACACAAATTAAAGGGTTCAGGACTTACCGTTGGCGGACCGTATTAAAAGACGGGAAGCCGAAAAGGAACTACAGCTCAGATTAGACGCTGGCGAAAAAGACCGGAAAATTGTATATTTTCGGGTTGTGAGGCTTCGACAGAGGATGATGCCGAAGCCACTCTGGGTGAAGCACGAGGCCACCTAAATAAGCTTCGGATCTGTTATACCAACGCCCGGAGCTTACTTAATAAGCTACCGGAACTAGGTGTACAGATTGACTCAACTAGGCCAGACATAATCGCAGTCACAGAAACATGGCTGACGCCGTCCATAGATAGTAGGGAACTTGATTTCGAGGGTTTTGCATTAGTAAGGGCCGATAGAACACAAACGCGTAAAGGAGGGGGAGTAGCTCTATTCATTAGGAATGCTATTCCATTCACCATTATCGACAGTGTATCCCATGAGAGTGGGACATATGAATTAGTTAGCTGCCGCCTGAAATGCAGGGGACAAGAGTTGCTACTTAGTTTGATCTATCGCAGTTCAAGCTGTGAGGCAAACGAGGTCCTGCTAAGCAGTCTCAACACTTTATCACAAAGTGATCGATGTCTAATCCCAGTTGACTTCAATGCACCCATGGTGGACTGGGGAAATCTGTGGACTGAATCGTCAGCAAACTCCTTCGAACAGGAACTAGTTGATGCGATAATCACTTGTGCTCTAGTGCAACACGTGAAGGAAGCAACTAGGTACGACCCGGGTTCTGCATCATCCTTACTAGATCTTATATTGACTCATTATGAGGATGATGTTGCAGACCTGGATTACATGCCACCCCTAGGCAAAAGTGATCATGCAGTTTTAAGCTTTGACTTCCATATAACTGTCGATCACGAGTACGCTTTAGCTCAATCCAGACCTAACGTCTGTAAAGCAAACATACCAGACATCATGAAATCAGCATCATTAGTAGATTGGAAATTAGACCCAGAGTCATCAATCGAAACGGCTTGGGACATATTCCGGAATTTATACTTAAAAGTTACCACTCCCCACATCCCTTGGACTACACCTAAGAGACCGAGAAACTCACCACCGTGGTTCATTGGGGAGGTTCGCATCCTTCTCCGTAAAAGAAGGAAAATGTGGGACAGATTTAGGTTACTGGGGACTGACGAGGGAAAATCTCAGTATCAAAAGGCTCGAAATACCTGTGCCTCGACCCTCCGTAGGGCCAGAAAGCTGTACGAAGAGAAAATCGTTAGGGAATCCATAGAATGCCCTAAACGCTTGTATTCGTATATAAACCAAAGGACAAAAAGAAGAAGAAATGTTCCTTTACTATGGGGAAACAGTACTGCCACATCACTAGTGGAGGACGACTTTGGCAAAGCTCAAGTATTCTCTAAATACTTTAGCGATGTATACACCGTAGAAACACCCTTCTCACCAGTCCATGAAAATCCCCTCACACAAGCACTGGACAGCGTGACCATTAAAGAACTCGATGTCTTTGGTCTGCTGGTTAAGCTTGACATAGGTAAATCCACTGGACCCGATGAACTGCACCCCAGGTTACTAAAGGAATTAGCTAACTTTGTTGCGAACCCTTTAAGTGTATGTTTTAATCTATCCGTAACCCAGGGTCGTCTACCAAAATACTGGAAGAACGCCATAGTAAGTCCAGTCTTCAAAACAGGTACAAAACATAAGCCTGAGAATTACTGACCAATTAGCCTAACTAGTGTGGTTGTTAAAATCTTAGAAAAGATTATTCGGAAGGAACTGTTAAAGTATCTCAATGAAAACCGGATCCTCTCCGAAAAGCAGCATGGTTTTAGAACAGGTTACTCTTGTCTCACAAACTTATTAGTCGCTCGTGAAAGCTGGTGCGCTCTTAAGGACCAAAAATTACCTATAGACGTAGCTTACATCGATTTCAGCAAAGCCTTCGACATAGTTCCGCATAACCGGCTGTTATATAAGCTAAGGAATGTCGGGATTGGAGGCAATCTATTGATGTGGATAAAAGACTTCCTAGTTGGGCGTCAACAAAGAGTAAGGGTGAACTCCAAGTTGTCTAGCTGGGAAACTGTGCTTAGTGGAATCCCCCAGGGTACAGTTTTGGGGCCAGTGTTATTCCTCCTGTACGTAAATGATCTCCCTCGTCTACTATCGTCATCGATCTTACTCTATGCTGATGATGTCAAGATATGGAGAGCGATACAAAGCAAGGGCGATAGCTTAGAACTCCAAAATGACCTGGAGAGATTATCTTAATGGTCCCAAACCTGGCAATTGCCGATAAACACTTCCAAGTGTATTGTGATGCATATTGGCCACCAGGGTACAGATACATACACGATGAATAACACTGAGTTACCAATTGTTCAGGCACACAATGAATTAGGCGTCATCGTCCGTCAAGACTTAAAGACTACTGCACACTGCCATGCAATAGCCGCCAAAGGTTTTAGGACTTTATGGTCCATACGCAGGGCTCTTAGGCATCTTGACGCTAAAACGTTTTTGACTTTGTATACAGTGTTCGTACGCCCTAAACTTGAGTACTGTATACAAGCAGCTAGCCCCTGCCTAAAAAAAGACAGTGAACTCTTGGAAAGGGTTCAGAGAACAGCAACTAGGCTGATTCCCGGAATAGCGAAGCTCCCGTATGGTACTAGACTGACCAAGCTAAACCTATTCCCGCTGTCATATAGAAGAATCAGAGGTGACTTGATTATAGTTTTCAAATTGCTTAATGACAAATTTGCACCTGATACGCTCTCATTTTTCTTGTCTTCCAAAACAGAAAATCTACGAGGACACTCCAAAACAGTTCACAAGCCCCGAACGAATTATTTGTCAGCTGACTACCGACTTTCCCATCGAATAATCAACGAGTGGAATTTATTACCTCAGCACGTGGTTGGGGCTCCATCCGTCGACTCCTTCAAAAGAAAGTTGGATCAGCTGAGAGACCATCATTGCCAGGACTAACACAGGCCATCAAGCCTCCTGTCCTTTCCAAACTGAAACTGAAACTTATCTCTCTTTTTTGTCGAATATACCTACGTCTCTACATGAAGGCATCATTGAACAACTACTAGACACAGCAGGACGATAAGCGAAAGCTTTTTAATACTCTGTTCACAACCACTGGAACTCTCGCATTGGCATAACAGCAATGATTTTTAAACTTAAGACAAAGATCTGAATGTCAAGAAATTGAATATGATATTTTCGGCGGGGCGTAAAACTCTGTTGGCTACAATCATGTGTTATTGTTTGTCCTATGTGATTAAAATTTACAGACCTAGTTCCTCCAGCCATCCGCGTTAAGCTCTGTTAATTTTTCTCCCTTCAATTGGCTGCTAGTTGATTGCGTAAGGTATTCTATCATTACGTAATCGTTTCATTTAACGAGAATGACTGTATCGCATTGTGCATATATTAGCGTTAATAAAAGCTGCGAACCTAGGTGTTCATGTCAATCTAATTGTTTGTCGTCGTTTTATCCCCTAGCTGGATCTACTCGTTAATTTTCCTCATTGTTTTTTCGGTGCGTCTTTTTTAAAACTACATCTCAAGTTGTTTTTAAATGATGTAAGGTAGAAATAAAGTCGTTGTGGTCTAAATCAGCTTTCTAAATAGACAGTTCTTAGTTCAGTATTTGGAAGTCTTGGTTCCAACTGTTTGAGTGATCGTGATTATGAGTCACGAAACAGCTTTTCAACGTCCTCTGATTTCTGTGGTTCCCCAATCGAATTTAGTTCGTAATAATTACTGAATCATCGATCCAAATAAGGAAGTATCTCTTCATTGGACCGAAATGCGTCGTTTGTTGAGGGATAAGTCTGCACTTAGACAAATGTTTCTACAACTAGGTTCGAAACTTAGTATTTATTTTATAAATTATAATGTCACTTTCGTGTAATTACGTGTTTGTTCATTTAGACAGTTATTTCAATGTACGCAAATTTAGTTAAATTCACGTTAGTCTCTTGGTTTGCACATTGAAAATACTGATTCATTTTGATTGAACTGTGTAATGTTCAGATTCCTGTTCTCTAGTCCTAAAATATCTATTTTTACTAAGTCTCCAAATGCCCTGATACGGTCGAAAATGGGGAGGGCTAGTCCTTTATCTCAAAATGCTCTCACACGGCCACGCGTATACAGCCTCTGCCAGGGAAGCCTTACTCACTGCCTTCTCGTGGCAGGGGTGGTTTACGAAATCGAGTGGACGAAAAGAGAATATCCGGCGCTTTAACCTGGCCGCTGGACACGATGAGTCCACCCAGGAGACTTGGGAAATCCTAATTCCAAGCCAGTGGTGTACATGTGCTCCAGGAGCCTGATAGAACAAATGGCATATGAACCCATTATTAGTAACCGGCTACCATGCGACTGCATCTCCTCACGATGCTCCACTCCCTTGTGGGTCAGATCTTTGGGTCATATGCTCGAGTAGTGGCCCCCTTGAGAAAACTACCTGCTTCATTCTGGGCACTCGGGCAGTATCATAACCCTCACACATTTAAAATGAAGTGACAGTTTTTTTTGTGGCGCATATATATTTGGTGTCCCCTTGTACCAGTATTTACGTGTTCAAATTAATAATAATAAATGACTATCTAATCGATTTCTTCATTTGTTATTTTCAGTCTAAGATTGTTCAACCTAATCGTTATGGAACTACCACCTTTTGAGCTACTTTATACTACATCAGATATACTTAATGAGTTAGAAAATGCACTTGAAGAGTTGGATCAAAACAAACTTTTCAAGGATGTGGGTAGGCGTAGACGGCAAAGAAGAAACGGTGGACTATATGGTGTAGGGTTTGAAGCAGAAGAACCCGATTATTTTAATCCAGTGGGAATATGTTGTGATATCGCCTTCTACACTAATGAGGAATATAAAAGACATTTAGATAGTCATGTTAAAGTAAGTTTTGCTCGGTTGTCAAATGATATTTGTCCAAGTGTCCTGTTGAAGGTTGTCCATTCACGTCGCATCCGAAAGCAATGCGTGTTCATCAGGAAGTGGTCAGTAAATCTCCATAAATTGTCATTTATTTATCTTATTTTACAGATTCATAATAGTGGTTTGTTTAATACCATCTACCGTGAGACTTGCGATAAGTCAGTGAAAGTTTGGAGAGAAAGTCGTAGACGGTAAGGCTCTGATAAAGTCATTAAAATGCATTCCTTATAAAACTGATGGACTTGGTATTTGGAAAGAAAATGCAATCATCTATGTTTTTGATAAGTTCAGGTGTAGAAATAAGTTTACATAAATCTATCTTCCATTTGATGTGGGAAATACCTTGAATTCTTATCGTTTTTAGCCGTAAATTTATCTTTCTTCAGTTTAAACCTGCTTATTCCTTTTAATGTTTTTAGTATTATTTATTTAAACACAAGCATCGGTACAATTGGGGACCTAAATATGTATGTGCCACAATAAAGACGAGATTGTAGAAATGGAAAGAGGAAGATGATTATAATAAAAGAAAGAAATTAACAGAAATTAACGTGGGAGTGAAGGTAGTAATAACAACAGCAGAAGCCGTAGATTGATGCGTAAGTTGTCGAAAGCGTCCAACCACTAAATAGTATTTTCTAGTCCTTCCTCATCGTTAGTTTTAGTAGTCAGTTAGCAACAGTAGCTTTCATTTCCAATGTTTGGCTTAGAGCCGGCTATGCAAATCTTCACTTAATTAATAAATTGGGTCATTACTACGGCTAGGAATGTTCGGAATGAGAAGTCTGGAAACCCTTGGTAGTGATGTTCACTTTAACTTTTCTACTAAATTACAAGTGTTTACTCACATTGTTGATTGTTTCAGTTTTCGTTTATATTAGCTCTCAAAAATTGTATTTTGAAGCGATGAATTCCTAGTTTTTCATTATTTTGCAGTTAACCCAAATTAGGCACATGGTGTTAAATGATCTTTTTCTACACTAAAGGTTACTACTTCTTTTGAGAAATGATTATTTCTATGTAAAGTAATGGGTATCGTCAACGTTTTTATGTTGTTGTTGTTCATTATAATTTCTCAGAAATTATCCTACTTTGGAGCGAGTTGAAGCCAAAAAGAAGCTTATTGAAGAACGTATCGAGAGAGGAGAAATATTTGAGACACCTCAATTCGGGTAATCTACTTTTTCGATCTCAAAATATGATGATAATATAAAGATGTAATTTTTAGCATTTTCTTTTCTTGTTATATCCAGGAGTTCTAGTAAAAAGCAGTGACCAGTGGAGTTCAAACCACGTCTGTTGTGAGATATCAACTCACTGAAGACAATTTGTGAACGGTTGCTCAACTTCGTGAATTGGTTGAAGCTAGACATTAACACCGTTGGATGCAGACCCAGTGGTCTATCGGTTAAGTGCTCTGGCTCGAGACTGGTAGTTCCTGGATTCGAATCTCGTGGATGCGCACTATTGAGGAGTCCCATAATAGGACGAAACGGCCATCCTGTGCTTCCAGGTTTTCCCTGGGGGTCTAGCTTCAATTGACTCACGCTTTCAACTATGAAAATACTGAATCTCCACAAAAAACCCTTCTGATAATAATATCCAAAACTTACTTACTTACTTACTTACTTTCGCCTGTTACTCCCAATGGAGCATAGGCCGCCGACCAGCTTTCTCCATCCCACTCTGTCCTGGGCCTTCTTTTCTAGTTCTTTCCAGTTCTTGTTCATTCTTCTCATGTCTGTCTCTATTTCTCGGCGTAATGTGTTCTTTGGTCTTCCTCTTCTCCTTCGACCTTCAGGATTCCATGTGAGGGCTTGTCTTGTGACACAATTGGGTGATTTCCTCAAAGTGTGCCCAATCCACTTCCAGCGCTTCTTCCTGATTTCTTCCTCCGCTGGAATCTGGTTTGTTGTCTCCCACAGTAACTTGTTGCTGATAGAGTCTGGCCATCGGATCCGAAGTATCTTGCGTAGACAGCTGTTAATAAACACTTGTATCTTCTGGATAATGGCTTTCGTAGTTCTCCACGTCTCTGCCCCATACAGAAGAACTGTCTTGACATTTGTATTGAAAATTCTAACCTTGGTGTTGGTTGACAATTGTTTTGAGCTCCAGATGTTTTTCAGCTGTAGGTATGCTGCTCTTGCTTTGCCGATCCTCACCCTCACATCTGCATCTGATCCACCGTGTTCATCAATGATGCTGCCCAGATATGTAAAGATTTCCACATCATCCAAAGCTTCTCCGTCAAGTGTAATTGGATTGGTGCATATTGTATTGTATCGGAGAGTCTTGCTTTTCCCTTTGTTTATATTGAGACCTACCGCTGCTGAGGCTGCTGCTACACTGGTCGTTTTCTCCTGCATTTGTTGTTGCGTTTGTGATAGAAGAGCCAGATCATCCGCGAAGTCTAAATCGTCAAGCTGCATCCTGCCTGTCCACTGTATCCCGTGCATTCCTCCAGATGTTGACGTCTTCATAATCCAGTCGATCACCAGGAGAAAGAGAAAGGGTGAGAGTAAGCAACCTTGCCTAACACCGGTCTTTACCTCGAACGAGTCGGTGAGTTGTCCTCCGTGGACGATTTGGCAGTTTAGTCCATCATAGGAGTTACGTATGATGTTGACTATCTTCTCAGGCACGCTGTAGTGTCGAAGAAGCTTCCATAGTGTCGTCCTGTCCACGCTATCAAATGCCTTCTCGTAGTCGATGAAGTTGATGTACAGTGATGAATTCCATTCGATTGATTGTTCCACAATGATACGTAGAGTTGCGATTTATTATTTATTTATTTATTTATTTAAACACATATATTGGTACAAAAGGGCACCAGGTACATATGCGCCACACAAAATAATGAAAGTAGGAAGAGAAGGGATGAAAAGATAAGGCGGACTAAAATGTACAACCAGAAGACTCTTTCAAATAGGAAAGTAAGAACCATACTTTATGTAGAAAGTAAAAGAAGGTTGCAGCAGGATCGCCACTGGCTTCTATTCTCAGCCATATCTGATAACGTCTCTAGCCACTGTGTTGCACCATCTCTCGGACCCCAACCAAGGAGTCGTGAAGGACCAACAGAAGCTAGCCCTTTGCAGCTCTCTTTCATGCCACGACACCATGTCATACACTGACCTCCTCTCCGCTTTTTCCAACCAGTCCCAGGGTCGGCAAATAATGCACGACGTGGAAGTCTCTGGGACGACATTCGTAAAACATGTCCAAGCCACCGAAGTCGGTGTTTCAAGATGGTGACACCAATTGAATTATCGTCTCTGTGCCCGAACACACGATGCCGAACCTCTGCATTACTAACATGGTGTTGCCACTGGATGTCAGCAATCCTTCGGAGACAACGATGATCGAACACAGAGAGACGTCTAACATCCTCAACTCGGAGAGGCCAGGTTTCACAAGCATAGAGCAAAACTGCTCTCACCGACGCGTTATAGATCCGACCTTTTACAGCCAGACTAACATCACGAAGGCGCCAAAGATAGCCCAGATTGGCATAAGCCGCTCTGGCTTTCATTATACGTGCATCAATCTCATCACTCACGCCACCACCAGCACTTATATAGCTACCTAGATACACGAACTTCTCAACTACTTCGATCTGCTCACCATCCAGGGTGAGTACAGGATTAAAATCCTGCCAGTCTTGTAGAAGTACTTTGCACTTGGAGGGTGCAAAGCACATGCCGTACCTGCGGACACTGATTGCCAACTGATTAAGTGCTGATTGCATGCCTTGGGCATTATCGCACAGTAAGACAATATCATCCGCATACTCAAGGTCGAGAAGCCGTTCTCCAGGCAACATATCCACACCGCCATTACTTACATCCACCAGAGCTGTTTCTAGGATGTCGTCGATGGCAAAGTTGAAGAGGAATGGTGAGATTGGGCAACCCTACCTAACCCCACTGCTCGAATGGAACAAGGGAGAAAGGTGGTTGTATGCCCTCACTCTGCCTGAGGTGTTCGTATACAGGGCCTGTAAGATGTTAATGAACTTCTCAGGCACACCCTTCTTCAATAGACAATCCCAGAGAACAGTCCTGTCCAACGAATCGAAGGCAGCCCTGATATCAAGAAACACTACGATTGTTGGCCTGCGATAAGTATGACGGTGTTCTAACATTTGGCGGAGGGTGAAGATGTGATCAATGCATCCTCGACCAGAACGAAAACCAGCCTGCTCCTCGCGAGTCAATCGTTCTCGGGTTTTAAACAACCTACGAAGAATGACAGAAGCCAATAGTTTGGACGCAATCGGTAGAAGACTTATCCCCCGATAGTTATCACAGGAACAACGCGAACCCTTTTTAAAGATAGGGACGACCATCGACTCATTCCATGATGTTGGAACACTTTCTTCCTCCCAAACCTTTGCAGACAACGCAGTCAGTTCCTTAGCCAGAAAGTCACCACCATCTTTAAAAAGAGTCGGAGGTAAGTCATCTGGGCCAGGTGATTTGCAACGTTTCAAGAGTTGGAGTTCCTTGCGGACTTCCGCCTCGTTTGGTGGATCAGTCGTCACCGGCCATGGGGGGCAGGACAAGCTGGTTGATGTTGCCGGAGCAGCAGGCCAGTTGAACTGCCCTTCGAAAAATTCAGCCCATCGTCCAAGACGTCGAGAGATGTTAGTGATTGGCATCCCATCATCCTCGTAGATTGTTTCACTCACACCAGACTTCTTGCTGCCAGTGGCTCAGATGAGTTGGAAGAGCTTCCGGCAGTTACCAGATGCAGCTGCTGCTTCCATCTCATTAGCACGCTCCGACCACCAGGTTTCTCGGTCCTTACGCAAGCTTTGCCCGATTTCATTACGTAACAGCCTTCGTTTGTGGTCATACTCACGGTCACCCGGAGAAGATCGACGGGCTTCCATCAGTTGTAAGGAGCCAGAAGAAACCCAGTGCTTGTAAGCGGGACGTTTCACGAAGCCGCAAGCGGCTTTACTCGCCATTTTCATGGCGTCGTGAAGATGCAATCAATGCTCATCTATACTTTTCGGTGGGATGGTAGCTAGCCTAGAAGCTAGCTCCGCTCGATACTTACTTGCAACAGATGTTGCAGCCAGTTTACTAACATCAATCCGTTGGTGGTGGTCAATCCTTCGGTCACTGAAAAGTAAGGTGAGATTGGCGCAGACCAGGGCATGATCAGACTCCAGATAGGTACTCCAAAAGGAGCGGCAGTCTTGTACACAACCACGCCAGCGGTAGCTGATCGCGATGTGATCAATCTGAGTCCAGGCTTGGGATGCAGAGGGAGGACGCCAGGTAGCACACCGGCGATGACTGTGCCGGAAGTTAGTGCTGGCCAGAAACAGGTTGTGGTCTGTGCACAGTTGCAGCAAACGGTCCACGTTATCTGTCCTGCGACCAACAAGTACCCATCGGCCACCTAAACGATTCTCTTCTGTGCCTAGACGCCCGACCTGTGCATTCAAGTCTCCGGCTAGTACTACAATATCTGTCGAACGCGCTTTCTGGAGAAGAACTGTTAACTGATGGTAAAACTCATCCTTGATTGCATCCGGGCTGCAATCTGTCGGGGCATAGGCGGAGATGACGAGAAGACACCGATTTCTTCTCACTTTGATGGAACTTTCTAATCTAACAGCACATAACCGACTGTTAATGGGGATCCAATCGATTAGTGCTGCCTCAGCCCTAGCGATTAGTGCGACACCAACGCCAGCAAGACCAGAGGAAGATGCCACAGGGTCCCCGGATAAGCGCACGTGAAACAAGCTTTTCGAAGTGACAGATGGACAGCGTATTTGTAGTACTTCACTAGAGTCTTGAATGCGGGTCTCGGATAGACAACAAACGTCAACATTAAGACCTTCCAAAGACATAGCCAGCCCTATCTGTTGTCTGATCTGCATTAGTGTGCGGACGTTGAAGGAAGCCAGCTTGAACGGCGTACGTGGTTTCAGAAAGACTGCTTCAGTATTCATAATCGGTGGAAGCATTCACTTTCAACCAGACAGTGACTGGAGATCGTTTAGATAGGACAGATTTTCCACAAAGAGCGAGTTGCTACATAAGATAAAAAGTAAGGTTACACAAATTGGGGATAAAAGGGGGTGAATTAGCGATATGGTAAGTAATAATAACAATAATAATAATAATGTAAATTGTCTTGCTTATAATAT